ATGCCCCATCTTATACCTAGAGGTAGAGGGAAGTGTGTATATGTGTAAAAATCTAAATATTTTGATCTTATGTCTTTAAATGGAAGGGCACACCAAAAACCAATAACTACATCACCATCAATGGGGTGACTATACAACTTGTCATCCAAGCTAGTGCATTTTGGAGAGGGAGGTGGGTACTATCCACCCAAGATTCATAAACCAGGACTTTCCTGAGCAAAATGGGAGATGTGGTCACCCTATCCGAGGGAGAGGCACACGGGGGAGGGGGGTGTCGGTCCTAGGAGGCCTGTGCCCAAGCTGCCCCTCCGTGTAATCTGATGACTGCCCTTGGGCAAGACCCTGCCAGCCTCCCAGACTGGCTTCCTTGTCCATGACACAGGCTCTTGCTGAGTGGTCTCCAAGGGTTGTGACTACCATGTAAGCCAGGGCACCTCCAAATCTGCACTGTACTTTTCACTCCTGCCACCACCCTCTGTGGCCTGAGATACCACCTGGACCTCACTCCACTACCTTTGCTTTGTGGTCCTACCTGAAGAAGGCTCCCAGCCCAGTGTCTTCCCTGGTTGTCATCCCCAAGGGGTTTTCACTGGGTGGATGATGTGGCCCTATTCTCAGGACTTCTCTATTCCCAGGTATACACTGAAGAAGACGTGATGAGTGTGCATGTGTTATATCACAGAGCACGTTAGGAAGTTCTTGGGGCATGCAGTCTCTTTGAGAATGAATTAGTTATATTTGCATGCTAGCCTTCTTACCAGCAAACACCAATTAAGTGCTTTAGGGATTTTTACATTTCTTTTCCCAAAGGCCAGATTCTGTTTACAATCCCAGGTTTAGCATTTGTTCAGTGAGCTCACAGAAATATGATGTTAAGCCCCTAGGTAAAAAGTGTAAGAGAATATTCAGTATTGGTTTCACTAGAGCTGATTTTTGCCAGTGGGCTCAATGCCAGTAATTCACACAGGCAGGTCACAGTTCCAAAGTCCTGTCCCAGAAATCCTATTTGCACCATGGAACAGCCTAAGGAGTTGCTGAGCTGATTTTCTCAACCTACGTTCAACAGAACAATGACACCGGGGCTCCAGAAGCACTGGAGCATGGCAGTGGTCTTGAGGGGTAAGTGCAAGAACTACCACCCACTCCCAGTTCAAACTCACTCCCTAAACCATTTAAGCAAGCAGCTGGAAGCAAGGAGGGAAGGATGTTATGATTCTCAGGCTGCCTCCAGGGTGCAGCTGGGAACTTCTCTGCTGCCTTCTGGGTCACTGAAGGTTCACAGTTGATCTTTGACTCAACTGGTGTGAAGAAAGGTCGCTGTGCTCCAGGCTCTCCTCCATCACCCTCTCCCAACATGACTCAACTCTGTGCTCCAGCCCTAGCACAGAACCAGGGATGGACAGACAGATAGATGGGTGGGTGGATGGATGGATAGGCAAGTGAATGGATGGGTGGATGGATGGATGGATAGATGGATGGAAGAATGGATGGTGGGTAGATGGATGGGCATATATGGACAGGTGGGTGGATGGACAGATGGATGGATATGTGTGTGGATGGCTCAACAGACAGATAGAGGGAAAGATGTCACTTGAAGGCCTCTGCTGTGCCTCTTATCATGCCAGCATATACTAAGTGCTCAGCAAATATTGGCTGGTTTTTCAGTTTGAAATACAATGGCTCTACTTTAAATTTTGCACGAACAGAATGGTGTGGCAGTACAATGGTGCCTCATACTAGGTCAGCCCTTGTGCTGTTGCTGCAGTGAGGCCCCTTCTGCATAGCTATTCAGACACCAGAGTGATCATGGAGTGAAGGTGCAACTGACAACCCAGGGCTGAGAGAGCTACCCATCACCTTGCTATTTCTTCTTCTCAGCATTAATATCTGACTCTCTGATGCCTCATCTCCTTCCAGTGCTTACCTCTCCATCCACTGGATTAGGGAAGAAATGACACTCCACATTTCTTACTGGGATATTTCTCTGAGTATGCAGGCTATAATTCTTTGTTCCCTCCTGTCCATTACTAATTACTATCTTGTTCAAATGTCCACTTGCCTGCTCACTTACTGTGTGACAGGGACAAGCAAGCAGCTGATGGAAGCATTTGAACCTCACACACCTGGCAGCCTCCCTCTGAGCTATGGCTGGGCAGGAAAATCACCTGGGATATTTTTAAATGCACACCCACGAGCATTGTGTTTAGACTTACCATGTATATGTGTATTTAAAACATTCCTTTTCCATTTCTCTTCCCTTCCTGAAAAATTCATCCCTAAAGCTATACAGTGTGGCAAAGCAAGGTGAGTATCTGCAGTGGGCAGGCAGGGCATCAGCAGGAACCAGAGGATCAAAGTCAGAGTGTCAGAGCCAGCAGGGTGAAGAGGACAACTCGGGGGTGGGGTGGCACCAGAGGTGTGGAGTTTCTTACATATGGAGAGATTGATCGAGTAAGGAAAAGAGTTTAAGACTAATAGAAACCAAGTTTCTCACTGTTGGAGAAGGGAGTTATGAGTAGAAATAACTTTGGGGTGTTATATTGGAATTGGAGGTATCCATGAACTCAAAGTTAGCTTAGAGATGACAGATGAAAGTATCTGTGTACATGTATGAGTGCACATAAAACACACATATCCATTCACTGAGTCTAGAAGCAGTGACATCCCAATAGTGATGATCATATTTTGACTTCTACACACCATTATCCACTATTAAAAAAAAAACCTCCTTGGAGAAATGGCTGAATCCAGGGCTGAGACAGAGAAGGTACAAGATGAAACTGAAACTGGACCATATTCTTATGTCAGAAGTCAGGGAAGCACTCTGAACAATGACGGGGCTGAGTCACAAGGACACAGCTTGAAAGAGCCACACTAACACAATCAGGACACATCTGAACATCAAAATAATCACTAATAGATTATAATTCATTGGATAAAATAGAAACCAGAAATCCATAGTGATATCAATAAATGCATAAAAATTTGGTGAGGAGTAGGCTATGTGCACAGATTTGAAATTCCTCCCCACAAAATTCTTATTAATTACAGAGGAGAAATGAATAGCTCTGTAGGGGGAAGCCTGGCAGGTGGCCTGAAGGCAGTGGCCCAAGTCAACATCACCAATAATGGGACAGCCCAAAGGCCCAGACCACCTGATAGGATGCTGTGAGGACACAACATAATTCAATACAATCTGATCACATCAGGGAAAAGATGAACCCAGACTAAGGACATTCTACAAAATACCAGGCCCATAGTCTTCAAAAGTGTCAAAGTCGTGAAAGTCAAGGAAACCCTGAGACATGTTCCAGACCAAAGGAGTCTAAAGAGACACCACAACTAAAAGCAGCATGCTGGAGTCTTCATTTAAAAAGCATTTTGGGGGCAGTTTGAAGATTGGGATCTGTCAGGGTGGTTAGATCTATCAGTGTATTAGTAATTGGACATACCCTTGATTTTGATGACTGTGCTGTAGGAGAATGTTCTGTTCATAGGATGTGTGCTTAAACTTTTCCAAGGTGTTAGGATTTCAGATGGGCAATTTATTTTCAAATGATTCCAAACAACGACAAGTAATTTATACTATATGTGCAACTTTTTTTCATCTTTTGGTTGCTGCCAAATATTTTTAAGTATAAAAGTAAGGTATTTTGAATCATCAAAAATAAACAAACTTAAAAAAAAATATGTACAATAATAACCACGAAACTTCCCAGGTGATTGATGCATTCCTGAATAGTTAGTTTTTGTTCTAGAAGTAACTCAAGCAGGGGCGCCTGGGTGGCTCAGTTGGTTAAAAGTCTGACTTCAGCTCAGGTCATGATCTCACAGCTTGTGGGTCTGAGCCCCATGTCAGTCTCTATGCTAACAGCTCATAGCCTGGAGTCTGCTTCAGATTCTGTCTCCTTCTCTGCCCCTCCCCCACTCATGCTCTCTCTCTCTCTCTCTCTCTCTCTCTCTCTCTCTCAAAAATTTATATTTAAAAAAAAATTTTAAGTAATTCAAGCAGTAAGCTGTGGGCTGTGAATGTAGAGCTCTTTCCTCAGGCTACCCAACCCTGGATTCTCCAACAGAGCCTCACTTGCTAGCTCTGGTCCCACCTGCTTCAGTCCTCACAGACCTCCCTCAGTTAATTCTGGGCATGCCCCAAGTGCTCAGGAAGAAGTCCAAGTGCCACCTGAGAGACTTGTCTCAATGCTGCCACCTGGGATAGCACTACAGATCCTACAGAGGCCCCATCAAGCTGTGAGCTCTGACTTTCTCATCTCATTGGGCTCTTTCCTTGCTTGGGGTGGCCTGGTTGTTGAAGGACATCAAGGCTACAGTCTTCTGCCCCAATATCTGAGTTCTAAGTGAAAGAATTTCTTGGAGGCAGCTCTTTCTCTGAGCCTCAGACATGAGTCAGGCATGTGGGCTCCAGTGGGTCCAAGTAGCCTGGGTTGGGCATTCAGGGTCACTCCCCTGTTGGTCTGAGAATTGAAACCCAGGCAACCTTCTCACTCCCTTTTCTGTCAGGGGGACTATTTCCTAGAAAGGCACTCAGATCTTTGTATCAATGCCTCCTTCCCAGCCCACCTGATGTGTGCAGGCACACCTGTGCCCCTAATGGGTAAGGTTCAACTCAAGCTGCTGGATATAGTAATGGACCAAAATGGAAGCCTCCAGCCCCCACCGCATCCTTGTTCAGTGCCCCAGATAACTAGCCCCCATGTTGCCATGTGCTCTGGGTGGGCTGCCTCTGCCACCTTGTCTTAAAGGTGGCAAGCAGCCATCACAGGCAGCTTCTTTCCTATCATCCCCTGAGACCACTCAATGCAGGGTGGGGTGAGGTGCTGGGGCTTATGTCTTTGCCATCAGTGGATGGCATGGCAGGGAGGTGGCTTCAGAGGGCCTCAACAGGCAGGGTCCATAGAGGTAAGATCTGGATGGAAGATACTGCCTTCAACATCCCCGACATCCCAAACCCTAACTCAGGCTTGCTTTGCTTTGTCTCCTAGTGTGGACAACTCTGAGGACCCCGTGTATGAGAGTCTAGAGGAGTTCCATGTGTTTGTCCTCGCCCACATATTAAGAAGACCAATAGTTGTCGTAGCAGATACGATGTTGAGGGACTCAGGTGGAGAAGGTAAGTTCATACGTAATAAAACGGCCATGTAGGACTCATGACCCAGAAAACATAACATCCCTATTAAGGAAGAGACAGCCTAATGTACAAGTTGAGGCTCCCAGAAGGCCACAGAGCATTATTCTGTGAAGATGAAGATTATAGTATTTCTCCTCAATTTCATGTGTTTCTTTTTCTTTCCCAGTGGCAGGAAGGTTTACTCCTGGCCATCCACCCAGCCATCTATGCTTTGTGTCGATGGCAGGTGGCCATGAGAAATCTGGCTGAGTGTCAGCTGGAATGAAGCCCTGAGGGCTAAAGCCTTGAAGAAACCAGGTCAACCCAGGGCAGTAGGTGCCTGCGGCTGGTCCTCCCTCCAGCCTTTCTGCCCAAGCAAGTGGCAAGGCCACTTCCAAAGTTCACAGGGCAACCACACTCTCAAAAGAGTAGGGAAAGAGGAGAGGTCAGGGAAGGTGGGCCAGGAAGGTCACCCCCTGTGCAACTGCCCCTGCCACTCAGCACAACTTCCCAGGTCCAACCCCTCCCAGACTTTTCACTTTCCCTTTGCTTCCATCACTAGCACAAGCCAGTCCCTTTTGGTGCCATGTTTCCCTTTGGTCACTTCTCAAAAAGGTCTCCTTGCCAGGTAAATGTCAGACAGTGAATATCCCCCAGCCTAACTTAAATTTAAACCTGAGCCTTAACAAAAGTCGTGGGTCTTCCAGAGTGTCCTACAAATTAGGACAAGGCTCTTCTTGCTGAGTCACAACTGCCAAAGGAAGTCTAATGGGGCCATGGTTGTCACAGTGGAAGGACATTGGTCCTGACCAGTGCCACCTCCTTCCCTGTGCAGGCAGCAACATGGTGTTTGTTCTCTCTGGGTACAGAGCCAGGACTCTCACTGGGGTCTCTGGGCACATAGACGTGTACCCATCAGATCCCACAAGGCTGGGTCCATGTTTCCTTCAATGCTACCTGTGCTCAATGGCTCAGCCCTCTCCAAGTGGGCCTACCCCACCTCTCAGCCTGTGGGCAGAATCACAACTAAATCTAATGTGGATAAAGCAGGGCTGGTGGAAGGAAACCTGAGAGTTCCTCAAAAGCATCACAGAAGCTATTTTTGCCTGCATTCAGCTCACAGAAATACAGTGAGTGAGTCACTGATTCCAAGGCCAAGAGAGACAAGGTTCTTATTAAGAAGTAGATGCTGTAGCAGGGCAGATATTTCCAGAAGTTGTTCTGTTTCAGTGAGGGTTTAGGCTCTCATCCCTCCCTTTGATGAGTAAGGAAATGAACATGATTGTGTCCCAATTGCTAAAGAAGCCAATCCTCATCTCCCATTTCCCATCTGACTCACAACTTGGTGCTGGAGTTTTCTGGTTGGTTCCTTTGGACTCAAAAGAAGAGCTTCTCAAAATATAGAACAAGAAAGCTCTTGAGAAGCATAGATATCATTCTGTATATAAATGCTTTAATGAACACAAGGAGAGGAAGAAGCTCATCCAGAAAAACGTGGATTTCCAGACAGTGTTCAGTGCATGTCACTGCTGACTGTTGTGAGCTCTTGATCATCTGTGTAGGTCTCAGGGCAGCAGGCCATCCCTGGGAAAATCACAGTGAAAAGCTCTCAGCCCTGTCCCTTTTGTCCCCAGTGTGCAGCCTGACAAGGCACAAGGATGAGCAAGAAGGACTCTGCCATGGAGGCAGGAGGGAGTGAGGGGTTCCCTGAGCATGCATGGGGCTCCAGGTCTCATCCACCTAGTACCTGTGAGCCTGAGCTCTCTCACCCATCACCAGATGGGCAACACCTAGCTTACTGCCTTGAGAACAACAGCCCAAGGGTGGCTGATGATCTAAGGCTGATGACCCTCCCTTCTGCCCCACCACCTCATGCAAGGTGGTAAGGGATGCCACTTAGGTCCTCTTCAGGCTCCACATGCTCTCACCATTTCTGTCCACAGCATTTGCTCCAATCCCATTTGGAGGGATTTACCTGCCTTTGGAGGTGCCTCCCAACAGGTGCCATTGCTCACCTCTGGTTCTTGCCTATGATCAAGCGCATTTCTCTGCCCTGGTGTCCATGGAGCAGAGAGATCAGCAAAGAGAACAAGGTATGCCTGCTGCTTCCTGAGACACAATGTACAGGGCAGGGGTGGGCACAGGAGGGCATGGGGAGGCAGAATGTGGGGTTGTCTGTGGGGAGCACACCCATGCACATTCAGTAACAATGGATTTTGTGTGTATATGGATAAATGAGTATGCACATGCAAATGTTGCAAATGCACATGTCATTGGAAATAACAATGTCAAAGACAACTTTTAATTTCAAATACAAAGCAAATTAATAATTCCTACCACACTTAAATAGCCTTTAATGTTTTTCCCTTTCACATCTATGTACATTTTATATGTACATTTATAATTCATCTTAGATGTAAACTCTTTAGGTCCCTAGAGCAGGGGCCTGCAAACTATGGCCCCACTGCCTATTTTTGTAAATAAAGTTTTAGTGGAACACAGCCATATTCATTCATTGACATATTATCAGTGGCTATTGCTTTGCACTACAGGGGCAAAACTGAGTAGCAGCCACAGAAACCATGTGGCTTGCAGAGCCTAAAATACTTACTAAGTAGAGCTTTATGGAAAAACTTTGCCAACCTCTGCTCTAGAGTAAGCTTTTGAATCAAAAGGTTGATACTCTCTTTCAAATTGCTGCAGCTGTTTCCCTAAGTAGTTGTTTCAGTGCTGCAGACAGGCCCACCAGGCCAGCCCCACAGGCTGTGCACTGCACAGTTTCAGGCCACCACCGGTCAGATGCTCATGTGGAGCCTGTCTTCCATCTCTGTGATATGTGTCTTTGCTGCGGAAATGGCAGGATTCTGATTAGAATGGATGCTGTTTTCTCATGTTAACTAGTGGCTGGCTGAGTGAGAGGGGGAAACGCATCCTCCTCTTGTCAATCCTGCTTCTGCTTTAGACAGAGAATCCCCAAGAGACTAAAGGACAGGCAGGACTGACAGTTTCAGGGTCCCTGCCTTTGGGTGTGGTCTCCAGAAATGCATGGTGGCTAGCCAGGCAGTGATGTGAGTCCTGGAAGGAAAAGGAAAGCAGGGTTGTGGCCAGCTGTAATGGGAAAATCACATCATTTTTCCGTATCATTGACAGACATCTCATTTGGGTCATGGAAAACAGTATTTAGCCATGAAGGACTGAGAGGCATCTTTGCCTTTTCTGTTGTCTGTCAGCCTTTTGGCCTTTGTGGGTTTTAGCTCTCCTCAGAGCTTACCCCAGCCCTTGGGCGATGTGGGGGCCCTTTCTCAGGACTTGGGATCCCAGCCAGGATCGAGGCCACTCCATCCAGGCTCCCCAGAGACTCTCGGCTGTCAGGGAAGATAAAAGTCTCAGGGCTGGCATCCCTGGTTGCTGAACAGGGGGCTCAGACACCCAGTCCTGTTTTATATAGAAGACATTGAGCTCCTCCAGGCCTTCTAGATACTGTTTTGCGGTGTTTCAAGGTGAAAATGCAGGTGCCTTTCAATAAAAGGACGCATGAGGTGGGGCTGTGGTTCAGCTTCTCTCAGGGGAATGGTTGCAGAGGTGACTGTGGTTTCACCTTTGATGACTTGGTTTTCCCAAAGAGGAGTTTGGGTCCCAATCCTTGGTTCTGTGTTGCTGTGACACAGGCTTCTGCAGCTCTACCCACTAGGTTACTCCTCTGAGCAGGGGTGAGGGGGGTGGAGCGGGGGGGTCCTACCTCCACTGATGTCTTGTGGCCCCATCCAGCCCCCTTGACCCACTGCAGGTCAAGTGCCACAGTGCCACCTTCTTCTTTTTTTTTTAATGTTTATTTTTGAGAGAGAGAGAGAGAGAGAGAGAGGCGCAGAGAGAGAAGGAGACAGAGGATCCAAAGCAGGCTTCACACTGTCAGCATAGAGTCCGATGTGGGGCCCGAACCCACAAACTGTGAGATCATGACCCAAGCCAAAGTCGGACGTTCAACTGACTGAGCCACCCAGGGTCCCCTGTGCAGTGTCACCTTCTGCACAAGCAGAAGCTTGTGCCCAGGCTGGGTAACTTGTGTGTGGCATGTCAAACCCTCATACATCTGGAGAGAACACAAATGCTCTGTGGGCTCTGAGGCTTTAAGTTTTGCAGCAACACATCCCTGTGCCACCCTTGTAAGGCTTACGGGTGCTGGTAGAGGTGGCTCTGCTCCCTATACCTCCCATCAGCCTGAAGCTCAGTGGTTCCACAGGATCTGTTTGGGAGCCAAGGGTTAGTTCAATAAATATATGTTAAGCACCTGTTACTTCCAGGTTTGGGAGCCCCAAAGATGATGGTATCCCTGCTTTAGGGCTCTCACTACCTTATAGAGGAGACAGGCAACTCCCCCACACCACAGTACAAGGCAGAATGTACACAAGGCAGGCACAAGCTCCATTCAGGAAAAGAACGATTATTCCAGTTTGGAAGAACAGACAGAGACAGAAGAGAGAGGTGGGTGAGAAGTAGTCTTGGAGGCTGTGTGTGATGTCCGGAGGCTGGTACCAGGGGGACAGAATAGGCCTGAGCGAAAGTGCGAGGCTGCTGAAGGAGTGGTGCTGATGTGGCAGAGCAAGCTTGTGCTTAAGGAATGTGCCATTGGTCATGGAAAGGCCTAGGCGGTGCTGCTTCTCTGCTGTGCGGCATCAGGAGTCCTATCTAGGAAACAACATTGCCTATCGCTAAGGCAGGCCTGTCTCCTGATCCTTCAGTGTTGCTTCAAAGATAAACCTAAATGTCTTGAATACGTCCCTTCCTGGCCACCATTAGTGTTGTGTCTCCCCAAAAGGACCTGCTAAAGGTGGGAGGAACAGAGAAAACCTGTTGAGGGAGCCATCACCAGGGGAAGCCAACCCCAGGGCGCCTCGGTGCTGCTGTCCTTTCCTGACCTACAGCAGGGGGGGGGGGCCTTTTTGCAAATACCAGGTCCTAGAATTTCATGTGTTGTTACCTGATGGTTGGGGGTGTTGGGGAGAAGCTGAGAGGAGGTCAGGAGCCCATCTAAGGAACAGACTCAGCCTCTCTTCTCGGCCCTTATAATGCCAAGGAAAATGGAAGCAGCCACAGAAACCCATACTATAAGCCCCCAAAGGAAGATGTGTCCTGAATAGCACTGGGCTGTAAGGGGCTCAGAGGAGAAAGGGCTGCTGCTGCTTCTCTAACAGGGGGTCCTTCCTGAGGTGGGTGGTCCAGGACTGGCACAGCAGCTCTAAATGTTCTCAGGGATTCAGGCTCCCAGCCTTTCCCTGCTCCACCATTATTTTTTTAATGTTTATTTATTTTTGAGAGAGAGAGAAAGTGGGGGGAAGAGGCAAAGAGAGAGGGAGACAGAGGATCCAAACTGGGCTTTCTCTGCTCTGCACTAACAGCAGAGAGCCCAATGCGGGGCTCGAAGTCACAAACTGAGAGATCAAAGTCAGATACTTAACTGACTGAGCCACGCAGGCACCCCCATCCACCATTACTATCATGTGGTTTCAGTCTCATGGTCATATGATGGATACTGCAGCTCCAGGCATCACATCCAAATACCTTCTCTTCCTGAAAGTTTGTCTTTTCATTTGGGAGGAAAACCATCCCCGAGGACTTGTGCTGGCCTCTTGCTAACCCAAGCTGAACACCATGCCTGCAGGTTTCTGGCTGCATAGAAGCCTGAGAAGAGAGTACAGTGGAGGAAGGAGGGGGCGAGGTGGTTGGTGGGGGTTCAGTGAGCCAGCTTCACATCCAGGGGGTGGCGTGATGTTTTAGGCAGTTCCATCTGGATTGTCCTCTTTCTTTCAGCAGTGATGAGTACCTTGTATCTGGGGAAAGGCAAAAGGATAGAAATTAATTCTTTACCAACTGGTCCCTTGTCTGGAAATAAACCAGTGTTGACTGTTGGGCTCTCAATCCCCTAAAAAGCCATGGTGCATGAGGCTGTCAGTGCCAGCTCCTTAACAGAAAACCTGTTCTCTTTAAGGGCAGGGAGATAAGCAGGCTGTCTTATAGCACTTGTCAATGCCTTTGAGTCTTATGGTTCAGGGGCTGCCACAGGTAAAGGATGGCACATGCTCCATGCAGTCCTGGCAGTGGCCAGGGCCCCCACATGACAGGGAGATATTGGGGGTCCTGTTGGAAGCCAGACCCGGTGCCAGGCAGCTGACTAGATGATCGTGTGCCTCCCACATCTGAATGCCACCTGGTAGTTTCGTGCTCAAAGGTTTTCTGTCCTCAAGCCCTGGGCCTGTGCCGGGACTCTCCCAGACAGGACCGCAGCTCTGCACCCACAGCCTTCTGAACCCTTCTGAAATCAGAACTTAGCCAGGCACTGGGCTTTTCACTCCAACCTTAAAGAAAGTCTCTGTAGCTCTATGCTTTCAGGATGCACTGGACTCTGTCTCCAGAGGGCACCTTTGCTGAAACAGGAAGATTTTACAGATGCTAAGTCACCACCCCAGTGAGCATCCTTGCCCACAAGGATGGGCAGCTGAGGGAGAGAAGATTTAGCGGGAAAACCATCTTTTTCCTCCCTGTCCCTTTCCTGCCATGCCTCTCTCTCCATTCATGAGGTCCCCTGGTGCCTGTTAGAATCCCTTCAGCTGCAGGTAACCAAAACCCAGCTCAGCATGGCTTAGACAGGAAGGGTGTTTGTTTACTCACACACCCAACCATCTGGAATCTGGCAGGCCCCACGGGACAAGTTGGGCACTTCAGGAATGTCCTAAATGACCATGCCCCCATCCCACCCTGCAGCCTCCTCACCTTCCATGCAGGACAAGCCACTGCCACCATCCCCAGCATACACACACACACACACACACACACACGTCCTGTTTGCCCCCCAAACACCTGTGTGTGAGAGCATGGGCAGATCGAGGTAGGAAGTATCCACAAAGATCCCAGAGCATCTTGTCCTGGAAGAAACAGACATCCTCAGAAGCAACTAGCATGGTGTTAGAAGGACTCCTGGGCTGAATAGACAAGGCTCCCACAGGACAAGAGGGACAGTAAAGATCATAACTGGAATGAGTAGAAATACGACAAGGATTGTTTAGTCCACAAATTCATAATGATACTTGGCAAAAGA